ATATGACCTTCTCCAGTTCCTCGACAATTTATTTGGTTGCATCGGACTCTTCGGGAACGATGAAGGTTCGAGGAGTGAGGAAGTCCTCTTCTTCATCTTCCATTACCTGATGCTCTGATTCCGCCAAGGCTAGGGGCAATGATTGCTATTTAGCCGCCTGCTCACCTTTGGTGCTCGATTTCTCCGAGGTCGAAGGCTCTGGTATTGGCACCACGTCCTCGACTACAAACATCTCCTTTGCAGCATGTTGCTCTCCAAAAACCATTTTCACTCTCTCCTCTATTGGGAACTTCATCATCTGGTGAAGAGTTGAAGGCACTACCCTCATGTTGTGCATCCATTGTCTTCCGAGGAGTGCATTATACCTCACGTCGCCTTCGATGACATGGAATTTGGTGTTGTTTACCTCGAAAAATGTGAGTAACAATTAAGGATAATTTTTGTTTTTAAAGATATGTGATATATTCTAATACTGGTGATTATATAAGTAATATCAAGCTTAAGTAAGAAGAAATGATGAACCAATTCAGTGTTGTTGGAGCAACAGGGGCCTCGAGCTTGCGATCCTAGGGACCTCGAGGTCATCTAAGAACAATAGAGTCTGAACAATAAAGTAAAGACAATAAAGCTGAAGAGAAATTGTTGAGCACGTTAAATAAGGAGAGGAGAGTAGAATCTTCTTTTGCAGTGAATAATAATGTGTTTACAAACGATTAGGGTCCCCTTTATATACGAGGAGAAAACCCCAATATAGTACATTCCTAATTGAGGTAAGGAATTCTATTGGTACAAGTGTATAATAACCTAGTACTGTCCTCTGCCATTTCGTATAAATCTTATCCTCTAATGGATGTCCTCACCAGCGTGTTCTTGCGAATTCTAGCTCTTTCTTGAGTGTCTTCGAGATTGTGCTGCCTTCTATGTAGGTCGTGCCAGTCCTTCGATCTGCTTCCTCGAGATGTGCTTACCCGGGCTTTTCTTGATTCTTACCTCGAGTTCCCCAAACCCGGGTTCGAAATGTAAACAAGTCTTCAAAATTGAGCTCCCCGATTTTGACTGTATACAGATAGTCCCCGCATTTCTTAGAATAAGTTGATAAGAAACGATTTGAACCCCGATCTCCCCGATCCACTTGTAATGACATCATGCCAGTGACGTAGGCGCCTGAAGTGACCGGAAATGTCATGTCAGTGTGCTTCCCCAGAACGTCAAATATGTTTCAGTCTTTGTCGGCCACTTGCACCGCCGGTTCCATCGCCGGCTTTCTATAAATAAGAGGTTACTTTGCTGGACAACAACTACACTTATTCTTTCTTCATCTACCTTTAGTCCTTTCCCTTCTTTACCTCTACCTCTAATCACCTATTTCCATGGTTCAGATATGTGGCCACAAGGTCGCATGGCAGCGACTTTACCAGTTACGCCAAGGCTTTCTTTTTCAAAGCTTTGGCTCGAGACAACGAGAGAAAGGCACTGGATCCCTTCCGTATCAGAAGATATGCAAACTTTACACTGCTGCTCATCTCTCTTAACTTCAACCTGGTGTGGTGCTTCATTCCTTTTGCTTTCCATGGAACGAGGTGGCACTATTATCTACTAACTTTTGCATCCCACATCATAACAGAGTTCCGAGGATGAACATTATTGGACTATTGCTCGTGCATCTTGCAACCCCTTTTGATTTTTCCCTTTTGCTTGCTCTTTCTTAATGTATGGTGGCCCAAAACTTCAACGGAATGTTCAATCTCGGCTTCTGGAGATATAATTACATCTATCGAGGGCCTCCTGCCCTGTACAAACGTTTTCAAAGATCTAAAATGGTGCCCCGGAAGAAAGAAATTCCGAAGACGATGCTCTCGAGGACGTGGTCTTAAAAGTGGATTAGGTTCTCTTTTTTTTTGACTTTGTTTTTTGCTTCTTTGTTCCTGTGTAAACATCCTTCGTGGGTTTCGTAGCTGTAATTTGTAAATATTTCTTGGAAGCAAAAAAGGATCCTTTTGTATCCCTTCTGGTTCGTGCTGAATTTTTCTCTATCTTTATCCGTAAAAGACTTTGATGAGATGGTTTCAGTAGCTAGGCCAAAAATCGAGCTCAGAACATAATAAACCCTTAGGTTATTAATATAGTACCCTTCGAGGTTCTCGTTAATCTTCGAGTTGAGCTTAAATGCGAACCGCGAACGTCATGATCCCCGAGCTCAAGTTGGGTGAGAGAAAGATCTCGAAATGAAGTTAATCCTTAGATCTTTTCGTAGTCCCTGAGTGAGAATTTGCTCGAACTCGGATAGCCCTTGCGCTTAGTAGTCAAGCGAGTGTTTGCTCGAACTCGAAATAAAGTTAGCCCTTAGGCTTTATATATAGTCCCCGAGTGAGAATTTGCTCGAACTCGAGTAGCCTTGGGCTTAATAGTCGAGCGAGTGTTTGCTAGAACTCGAAATAAAGTTAGCCCTTAGTCTTTATAGATAGTCCTCGAGTGAGAATTTGCTCGAACTCGGGTAGCCCTTGGGCTTAATAGTCGAGCGAGTGTTTGCTCGAACACAAAAATAAGTTATCCCTTAGGCTTTATAGATAGTCCCCGAGTGAAAATTTGCTCGAACTCGGGTAGTCCTTGGGCTTAATAGTCGAGTGAGTGTTTGCTCGAACTTGACTTATAGGCTGCCCTTTTTGATTTTTGATAGATTAATTCTCGATGCTTTGGTCCTGATGCCTATATCATGACATAAGCGGTTAAAGTGACTGAAAAGTTGCTTTTTGTATGATTCCCAAAATTATTAATTGGGGGCAGCTGACGGAGACCCTTTTGGCTTCCCCAGCACGCTTAAGTGATCTCTATAAATAGGCTAATTCCACAACCTTACAAACTCTCATTCTCATATTGTTCTCAAAGTTTCTTTAGCCTTTTTCCATTTCCTTGAATTCTCCCTTCTATTTATTGTCAACACTCCTTTATTTTCTTGGATCTTCCGCACTTGCGATGGCTAACACCTCTAAACCGGTTTCTCAAAAAGAAAAAGCTTCTTCATTTTTCCGATCAACCAAGAGTAAACCGGTAGTACCCCCTCGTATTGAATAGTGCATCCCTCCGCCATGTGAAATAGCATTCGATTTCAAAATCGATAAACCTGCATCAACACCAGGCCGGTGCGAGCCCATGTCTCGATATGTTTGCTTGGTGATCGAGGCTGAGCTCGGGCAAGTAAAGGAGGACTATAAGTGGTATAATAAAGAAATAGTGATCCCTTCCTTCGAGGAGGACATCACTATATATAAAGCAGGGTACTTGAGCGTATATACCTACCCATTTACGTTAGGTCCTGCAATCCCGGCTCAGGGTCCCATAGATCCGGTGATTCTTGACTTTTGTCAACGACCGAGTGACGTTTGGCCAGATCTACCCCTCCTTCTGGCGAATCGTTTACTTGATTAGGTTCTTTTCAAACCAAATTGAGGGGATGACTTTTACCCTCGATCATCTTATCAGACTGTACAGTCCCCGACTTTATCATAGGGGTTTGATAAAGTTGCAACGCCGATCCTTAAAATCTCTCTTCTCTAGCATTGATGTGGACAAAGATCGTGGATGAATGAGTAGGTTCGTCCGAGTCAAGACCTCCGATCTGATTCCTGTTGATTGGATGTTATTCCCCGAGGAGTGGAACACGAAGCGTAAGTACATGGAGAATTTACATCCTGCTCTCTTTTCTTTTTCTTGGCTTCATCCGTTTTCTCCGACTAACCCCTTTCCGTGGTGCAGCCACTGCTTGGTTTCCTGGTGGGGTCCCAGTCCTCGAAGGTTGGGTTCGAAGGTTGGCTTCTGCTTCCTTCTATTCGGAGCGTTGGCGAGATTGGGCCAAAGGTTGATCGGAGGCCAAAATCATGGTGAGCTCCATTGTTCGTTTCCTTGCACTTTTCTTTATAGTTTATTTATTTTAGTTCTCTATAGGTCTTGGAAATGCTGTTGCCATGCGGCCGGCTTCGGATGATGACAAAGAAGTTTTAAAGTCTTCTAAGGAAAGAAAGAGAAAAAGAGAGTCGTCCGCGAATCCCCCGAAGCCTAAGAAAAGAGTGGCTCAAAGATCCAAGGTTGATACTGCGGTTTTATCTCCGAGAACGACCAAACGCCTACGGGACCAGGAGGAAGAAGAAGAAGAAGATGACGATTGCCTACTAGTGGCTCGTGAAAGAAGAAATGTTGATGTTTCGGAATCCGTCGAACCAGTGATGGTCGATGCGGCGCGTTCCAGAATTGAAGAGATTTTTGAGAGTTGTCGTGTAGAAAAAGGGCACCTCGCCTAGGAGGCCATCAGGAGGGTAAGGCCGAACGGCCCAGTCTTGAGCTTCCTCAAAATAAGGAGAACGCCCCAAGTATGTCGTTAGGGGTAATCAATGTAGATGATTCACCTCTTCGCCCCGAGTTCTCCGTTGGGCAGATCCGGGATGATCAGAATCTGAGGTCTTCTAATGTGGAAGCAAGCCATGATGGTCATGACATCTTTAGAGAATGCTTTGCGGGGCTCGAAGATGGCCCCGACCCAGATGCCTATCATATTTTTGATGAGGCTCGTAGACTCTTCAAACAAGTGAGTTTCCTGTTTGTTATGCCTGCATCTGCACTTTCGCTGTCTCTAAATCCATTTTTCCTCCTTTTTTATGAAGGCCGTGGTGCTCCATAAAAAGGTATTTTCCGAGTTTCGGATCGATCTTGCTTGATGTGAGGCTGAACTAAAAAAGGTCTCAAAAGAGAGGGATGATCTTAAAGCCCTCTATGCTAAGAAAAAAGCGGAGATCGGCGATCTTCGAGTTGAATTGGCACAGGCTCACCAAGGGCGGGTCGAGTATGTTTATAAGGTAATATAACCTTTTATGGACCTGTTATGAACTTGCTTGTCTTGACGTCTAATACCTTTGATTTTGCAGTTTTATGAGAAGGCCGACTTGGTGGCGTGGCTTCAGGAGGAGCTAAAAATATAAGAAGCCGAGACCTTAGGGTGGAGGCAGAGCATGGATGATCTTGCCTCCGAGAAAGAAACTCTTCTAGAAAAGCTGGCTTCCCTCGAATGTCAGTTTGAAAGTGTGAGGGAGGATAGCCTAGCTCGAGGCCGTGACATTGAGGAGCTTAAAGCTAAATCCGCTGCTGAGTTGGCTAAGGCCAAGTCTGATGCTGAGGCAATTATGTCTTCGTATCGAGCCGATGCTGAAGCGGCTAATGTTCGGGCAAAGGAGATCTCTTCTGCAGTAGAAGTTAAGTTATCGAGGGCACTTGATCATGCTAGGCGTCAATCTCGGAGGACTACCCTCGAGGAGGTACACGTCCGCGACTTCGATCTCTCCGCCGATATTGAAAAGGAGAAGATTTTGGAAGAAGAGGATGCCGCTCTGCTTTTTGATAAGGATGATTCAGACAGTGGCTCCGAGAGTGGAGGAGCTGAGGGCGAAGTCTCTGGGGATGAGGCTTTCAAAGATGCGGCTCCCGAGGATGCAACTGCCGAAGATGTAACTCCGGAGTAGTTTTAGTTTTCCTTATTTTGTTTTTGCACGAGTATCCTTGTTAGAACATCCCCTGTAATCATCTTTTGGAAATATAATAGGATCCCTTTATCTTATTTTCGACTTGCGCTGGATTTCATATCGTTTTGATTTATGGAATACCTCTTTTGCATAACTTGAATGATTGGCCATGGAATTGCCTTGGGCTCGGGATATAGTAAACCCTTAGATCCTTATTGATAGAAATAGTAATCCTTGAGCTAAGTTTAGATCGATCCGATTAAAGCTCGGGATACCGCGACTCTTGAGTCCGGGTCGAGTGAGAACGGAGTCCCATATAATACATTTTTGGTCCTTAAGCCTTTCGAAATTGGCCCTTAGGCTCTTTAAGTTGGCCCTTGGGCTCTTATATATCGGCCCTTAGGCTCTTTATGTTGGGCCGATTCGGCCTCTTAGAATGGCTATATAAATTTTCCCTCATTCGGCTTAAAAGACTTAGTGAAAGTTTAATTATGCCTTAGCATGTGTTTTTTGTACCCGTAGGTTTTTTCGAAGGTGCGACATGTCGGAACCTTATTAGTGATTTGTGTATGTACCCATAATCGAATACATCTTGAGGTATCTCCGAAGGCCAATGTTATCAAAGCCCTTGGATATTTTGAGGGCCGAATTTATCGAGGCCCTCAGATTTTTTGGGGGCTGAATTTCTCGAAGCCCTTTATATTTTGCTTTTGCCGAGGGTAGCCTGATTTAACCGATTTTTCAATGTTTGAAGGCCTTTAATTTATAGCGGAAGTCGGATCTCCGAGCTGCATTACTTTGGCCGTAGCCTTCATATGACTGTAGACTTTAGTATGGCCGTAGCCTTCGGGGTATATCCCTTGGGTTTGTTTCCCGATAACTTCCCGAACTTGTTCGAAAAGCTAGTTCCCGAGCACACTAGCCTTGGCCTTTGTTTCGAGGGGGTGCCTCTTTAAGGTCTTATAAGTCCAAATTTTCGATGACTCGGATGTACTAACTGTCGATGACAGTCCTCGGGTACTCGGGGTGTTTTCATGCTTTGGCTCTTGAGCCATTTCCTGTAGGATTATGAGTGTAGAGTTCGTGTAATAGTAGACTTCTTTGAGACACAAAGTATTTTTTATATTAACGGAATTGGAACATGTGTACATGCTTTGTTTTCGAGGCTTGACTACTATATGGATACGGTTCATCTGACCGTTTGGCCCATTACAAAGGTTTCCTATCGAGGTTCTCTTAGGCATGAAGTATTTTCCTTGAAAATATAACCTCCGAGGGTGATGCCCCCCCAGTATTTGAGGTTGATTAAAAAGAAACCTTGGATACTGTTGAGTTTTCCTTAGGCAGCACATAGTTGTTGCCTCGTTAAAAACCTTGCCGGTAAAACCCATTTGGGACAAAACCCGAGCCAAGGGAAAAGAGTGCAACATATGCTTTAAAACCTGAGGCCTTCGTGTAAAAAGGGAGTCTTCGAGATCATGCGCCTTTGAGAGCTCCCATCATGTCGGGCTTGTAAAATCCTTTACCAACGACTCTGAGGGCTCAATGCGGTCCTATCATGCTATCTGCGATCGTAATATCTTCGAAAGCCTCGACCTGGTCGGGGATGATTCTGATGCCCCGATCTGACACCATGAAGCCGAGAAACTTACCCGTGCTAACCCAGAAGACACGTTTCTCGGTTGAGCTTCGTATTGCATCACCATGAAACGTTGACTGTTTCCTGCAAATGAATTAAAGTAGTCCTCTGCGCATAGGGAATTGACCAGTCATATCATTAATATAAGCTTTCATTATTTTACCTGTATATTCTTCGAGCGGAATCCCTATCATATTTAAACGAGACAAAGCAATGCGATCTATATTATCAATAAGAAACTAAATAAGTTTTTTCCTGAGTGCGGGGATCAATCCCGTTCCCAGGTGTACCTTTCTCTTGAGCAGTTGACTTGGTAGCATCGGGCTTCTCGGGAACAACGAATATTTGAGGATTTGGGGAGTTCCCTTCTTTGCCTTTGGTTACCAGTTATTCTGCTTCCATCGAGGCTTGACGTTGTGGTTACCACTTAGCCACCTGCTTACCTTTGGAGCTCGACTTCCTCGAGGCCAAGGGTTTCGCCATCGGCACCATTTCCTCGATTACAAACATCTCTTTTGCAGCATGCTGTTCCCCGTGGATTGTTTTCACTCCTTCCTCTGTCGAGAATTTCATCATCTGGTGGAGAGTCAAAGACACTGCCCTCATGTTGTGTATCCATGGTCTCTCAAGGAGTGCGTTATACCTCATGTCACCTTCGATGACATGGAACTTGGTGTCTTGTATGGTCCCGGCTACGATTACTGGCAAGATAATTTTTCCCTTCGTTGTTTTGCTTGCCATGTTGAAGCCATTCAACACCCGGGATGCGGGTACAATCTGATCTTGCAGGCCGAGTTGTTTCACGATCCTCGATCTGATTATGTTCGCAGAACCACCCGGGTCCACCAAAAAACGTTTAACCTGAACTTTATAGAGATTACCAGGGCGTCTTTGTGAGGTTGGGACACATCCTCTGCTTCCTCATCACAGAACGATAGAGCGTCCTCGGGCGCATAGTTCCGAGTCCGTTTTTCCTTTGTGATGGATACTTTGGTACGTTTGAATATAGGTCCCCGTGGGACATCAACTCCACCGATGATCATGTGAATGACATGTCAAGGTTCTTCGGGTTCATTCTTCCTGTTTGTATCTCTTTCTTAGAAATGATTTTTGGCCCGGTCGCTGAGAAATTCGCAAAGATGCCCCTCATTGAACAATCGGGCTACCTCCTCTCTGAGCTGCCCGCAATCCTCGGTCTTATGCCCGTGAGTTCTATGGTACTTACACATTAAGTTGGGGTTCCTCTGAGAAATCGGTCTGTATAGGCTTGGGCCATCTAGCATCTCTAATTTTGCCAATGGCCGAGATGATACCCGAGGCGTCGATACTAAAGTTGTATTCTGATAATCTAGGTGTCTCCACCGGTCCTGAGCGCCTATCAAACCCGGTTTTGCTCACGAGCCCCTGAGATCTTTGGCCTCGATTTGCTCTTCGATCATTCCGAGGTATTTTACGTATTGAAATGTTCCTTCGATCTCAACGTACAGTTGATACCGTTCTGTGTGGAACCTTGATGCCCAGTCTGTGTCCCTCGGGGGATTGGTTGTGAATCTACTAGGATGAACTGAGCCTGAGAGGGCTCCCAACTGGTCGTCCTCGACCCTAATTTTTTACTGATAATGATTGTGCACATCCGACCATGTCACAGCTAGATATTCAATCAAGTTCTGCTTTAGCTGCCGAGATGCAATCGAGCTCCTTTCATTCAAACCTTGCATAAAGGCCTGAACTGCCCAGTCATCGAAGACCGGTGGTAATTCCATCCTTTCCATCTGAAATAGGAACACGAACTCCCTCAGCATCTCGTCATCCCTTTGTTTTATTTTGAAGACATCCGATTTTCTTGTGGCTACCTTTATGGCCCCGGCGTGTGCTTTCACGAAGGCGTCCGCCAACATAGCAAATGAATCAATAGAGTTAAGAGCTAAGTTGTGAAAGCAGATCATAGCTCCTTTTGATAGTGTTTCCCCAAACGTTTTCAACAACACTAACTCGATTTCATTGTCATTCAAGTCATTTCCTTTGATTCCACAAGTGTACGAAGTAATATGTTCATTAGGGTTAGTTGTTCCATTATATTTCGGTATATCGGGCATGCAAAACTTCTTGGGAATGGGCATTGGAGCCGCACTTGGGGGAAAGGTTTTTGTATGAACTTTTTTGAGTCCAGTCCTTTCAAAATTGGAGGTGCTCCTGGTATCTGGTCGACCCTTGAATTGTATGTCTCTACCTTTTTGTCATTTTCTTCAATTTTCTTTTCTCCGGACTCGATTGTTTTGGTCAGCTTTTCGAGCATTTTCATAATAAGGGGATCAGACCTCGAACCATTTTCATTGGGACTTTCAGGCGCGGGTTCCGTAAGCCGGGCGTCTACCGGTTCGGCGGTGTTTGGAGTTCTGTTTTAACTCTAAAGTTGAGCAATGGCGACTTGCTGAGCTTGCAGCATCTGGAATATCACTTGGAGGCTGACTCCTCCTTCTTCCATTCCTCGCATTTCCTGGCCTCCGGCGCGGGCTTCTCGGTGTGCATTCCTCACGGGGTCTGTGCCTGCGTCCATGATTAGAGCATTATGTGAACTGATATCAACGGGCTCCAAATTTGGCACTCCCTCAGGGTTTATGGGTGGTACACCGACCCCTATACCGCTATTTTCTCTGAGTCCCTCACTGTCATGAGCTGGTGCGTTTTGTGTACTGGACATATTTTGGCCTGAAATCAAAAAATCTTTGACAAGAAAAAGTGTGAAGAACAACGTATGTTATTAGAAAACTAGCACTAACATAATCACTATTATCTTTAGCCCCACGGTGGGCGCCAAACTATTTACCTCGAAAAATGTGAGTAAGAATTAAAGATAATTTGTGGTTTTAAAGATATGTGATATATTCTAATACTAGTGATTATATAAGTAATATCAAGCTTAAGTAAGAAGAAATGATGAACCAAATCAGTGTTGTTGGAGCAATAGGGGCCTCGAGCTTGGCGATCCCAGGGACCTCGAGGTCAGCTAAGAACAATAGAGTATGAACAATAAAGTAAAGACAATAACGCTGAAGAGCAATTGTTGAGCACATTAAATAAGGAGAGCAGAGTAGAATCTTCTATTGCAGTGAATAATAATGTGATTACAAATGATTGGAGTCCCCTTTATATAGGAGGAGAAAACCCCAATATAGTACATTCTTAATTGAGGTAAAGAATTCTATTGGTACAGGTGTATAACAACCTAGTACGGTCCTCTGCCATTTGGTACAAATCTTATCCTCTAATTTATGTCCCGACCCGCATGTTATTGGGAATTCCCGCTCTTTCTTGAGTGTCTTCGAGATTGTGCTGCCTTCTATGTAGGTCGTATCAGTCCTTCGATCTGCTTCCTCGAGGTGTGCTTACCCGGGCTTGGCTTGATTCTTACCTCGAGTTCCCCAAACCTGGGCTCGAAATGTAAACAAGTCTTCAAAATTGAGCTCCCCGATTTTGACCATATACACGTGTCCTGTATGGTTCCGGCTACATTTACTGGAAGGATTATCTCCCCCTTTGTTGTTTTGCTTGCCATATTGAAGCCATTTATGACCCGAAAAGCAGGTACGATCTGATCTTATAGGCCGAGTTGTTCCACGACCCTCGATCTGATTATGTTTGCTGAGCTACCTGGATCCACTAAAAGAATAGAAATTACCAGGCGTCATTGTGTGGTTGGGATACGCCTTCTGCTTCTTCGTCACAAAATGATAGGACGTCCTCGGGCACATAGCTCCGAGTCCATTTTTCTCTAGTGATTGATACCTTGGTGCATTTGAACACAAGTCCTTGTGGGATGTCGACACGGCCAACGGTCATGTGGATTACATGTTGTGGTTGTACCTGCTCATTTTTTCTTGCATCTTTCTCCATGATATGGTTTTTAGCTCGATCACTGAGAAATTCTCGAAGGTGACCCTCTTTGAATAGCAAAGCTACCTCCTCCCTTAGCTGCCTGCAGTCTTCAGTTCTATGGCCATGTGTGCCATGATACTTGCACATCAAATTTGGATTCCTCTGAGAAGGATCGGCTTGGATAGGCCTGGGCCACCTGGTATCTTTGATTCTTCCAATAGCTGACACGATCCTTGATGCGTCAACACTGAAATTATACTCTGATAATCGAGGTGCCTCCGTGGGATCGGTGTGTTTATCGAACCCGCTCATACTCATGAGTCCCCGAGAGCTTTGACCTCGATCATTTCACCGATAGTTCCGAGGTACGTTATGGCCCGAACTATTATTTCTCCGATCAATATACAGTTGATACCTCTCTTTGTTTGACCTCGATTCCCTATCCATATCCCTTGGGGGCTTAGCTACCGACCTGTTAGGATGAACCGAACCCGAGGGGGCTCCCAACTGGTCGTCCTCAACCCTAATCTTCGATTGGTAATAGGTATGTACGTCCGACCACGTCACAGCTGGATACTCGATCAGATTCTGCTTTAGTTGTCGAGACTCGATCGAACTCCTTTCATTCAAACCCTGCATAAAAGCCTATATTTGCCCAGTCATTTAAGACCGATGGTAACTCCATTTGCTCCATCTGGAACCTAGATACAAACTTCCTTAACATCTCATCGTTCCTTTGTTTAATCTTGAAGACATCCGATTTTCTTGTTGCCACCTTTATGGCTCCGGCATGTGCTTTCATGAAGGCGTCTGCTAACATAGAAAATGAATCAATAGAATTAGGAGGTAAGTTGTGATACCAAATCATAGCTTTTTTTGACAATGTTTCTCCAAACTTTTTTAACAATACTGATTCGATCTCATCATCGTTCAAGTCATTTCCTTTGATCCCGCAAGTGTAGGAAGTAATATGCTTGTTAAGGTTGGTTGTCCCGTTATATTTAGGTATATCGGGCATGTAAAATATTTTAGGGATAGGCATCGGAGCCGCGCTCTGAGGGAAAGGTTTTTGGCGTCTAAACCTTTCAAAACTGGAGGTGCCCCCAGTATCTGGTCAACACGGGAGTTATAAGTCTCCACCTTCTTATCATTATCCTCAATCTTCTTTTCCACGGACTCGATCCTCTTTGGTGAGTTCTTCGAGTATCCTCATAATGGTGGGGTCAGTCCCCGAGTCATTTCTGTTCGACCTCTCTGGGGCTGGTTCAGCACGTCGAGTGTTTTCCGGTTCAGATATACTCGGAGTTTTATTCGGACTCTGAAGTTGGGCGATTGCGATCTGCTGAGCTTGCAGCATCTCGAATATCACTTGGAGGCTGACTCCCCTATCTCCTATACCTGGCGTTCCCTGGCCTCCAGATCGGGCTTCTCTATGTACACTCCCCCCGGGGTCTGCGCCTAAATCTGCATCCAAAGCAATATGTGAACTGACATGGTTCCATATTTGGCACTTCCCTAGGGTTTACCGGTGGTACACCGACCCCTAAATTATTGTTTTCCCCATGAAATCCAAGACCTTCGTTGTCATGAACAGGTGCATTTTGCGAGTTTGACATGTTTAATCCTGAGAATCAGAAAATCATGACAAGAAAAAGCGTAAAGATAACATGTGTAATGAGAATTAGTAAAGAAATAATCACTATTATCTTTAGCCCCACGGTAGGCGCCAAACTGTTTACCTCGAAAATACGAGTAACAATTAAATTTGATTTGTTGTTTTAAAGATATGTGATTTAGTTCAATACTAATTCATAATCAAGAAATATGAAGTAGAAATGAAAGAAATAAGTTAATCAAACCAATGTTACTCAGCAGTGGTGACCTCGAGCTTAGTGACCTCGAGATGAACCAAGAACAATAAAATAAGAACAGTAAAGAGAAAGGACGGTTCTGATGAATAGTAAGCGAAAAGTAGAGAGTATATTCTTTGCCAATGATTATATGATGTTACAAATGATTGGGGATCCCCTTTATATAATAAGGGAGCCCTAAATAAGGTACATTTCTATTTACGGTAAGGAATATTATTGGTACAACTGTCTAACCGTCTAGTATGGAATAGTACAATCCTATTCCGGGATTTGCGCCATGATCTTGGGGACGTGGCAGGAATCTAGCTTATTCTGTTACAAATCCATAACGGTACAATTTTGGGGTCTAGCATACTTAACTTCAGTATTCCGCTCACTCCTATCTTTGGGAATTGCATTCTATCCTCGAGCTCGAGTCTAGTCTGTCGACCTCGAACTCGAGCTTACTTGAACTCGGACCTAAGACGATCCATCGAGCTTGGGAAATTGGACGTGCCTGATTTCGACCTATACAAATGTGAACACATAAAGGGTAAACCTACTCATCTATTCTTACTAGGCTTTATAGAGGAACTTTCCTAATTCTCTTTCGCTGTTCCATCTGCTTCTATTAAAGAGAAGACAAAAAAAACTGATGTATTGTCTTTTTCAAAACAAACTAATTCAACAAGAAAAGTTGGAGAAACAGGAAAGTACGTGGATGACTCTTGTGTTCACCAACTCAGCCAACTTTTACTATTATTATAATGTTGATAAATTGCACACCTTGAATAAGCTCCATAGTAAGTACATACGTTTGTTTTTTCTCCACCCACCCCATCAAATAAATAAAAAATAAAACACAAATTTTCCACTATAAATAACCAAAACCTCTTCAATTATCTCATAACCAAAACTTCCTCTTCTCATAAAATATTTCAGCTTTTCCTTCAACCAAAAAAACCAAACTTATTACCATGGCTACAACTAAGAACAAAAACCTCACAATTACTGAACAAGTTTATGTTAGAGTTCGTCTTGCAAATGAAGCTGATATTTCCCATATATACAAGCTCTTTTACCAAATTCATGAATATCATAATTACACTCATCTTTACAAAGCCACTGAATCTTCACTTTGTGATCTTCTTTTTAAAGCAAACCCTAATCCTCTCTTTTATGGACCCTCAGTTCTTTTACTCGAAGTTTCGCCAACCCCTTTTGAAAATACCAAAAAAGATGAAAAATTCAAGCCAGTTTTGAAAACATTTGATCTTAGAGCAACAGTTGAGGACAAAGAAGCTGAGGAATTTAAGTCCAAATCATGTGGAGATGAAAAAGAAGATGTTTTTATTGCTGGATACGCGTTCTTTTACGCAAATTATTCGTGCTTTTATGATAAAGCTGGGATTTATTTTGAGAGTCTTTATTTTAGGGAGAGTTATAGGAAGTTAGGAATGGGGAGTTTGTTGTTTGGAACTGTTGCTTCTATTGCTGCAAATAATGGGTTTGCTTCAGTTGAAGGAATTGTGGCTGTTTGGAACAAGAAATCTTATGATTTTTATGTTAATATGGGAGTTGAAATATTTGATGAATTTAGGTATGGGAAATTGGTTGGTGATGCTCTACAAAAATATGCTGACAAGGAGAAGGTTTAATTTGATGAAAATATACAATTTTAGCACTTGTTTTGTGGAGGTGGGATTTACAATTTGTTATTTCTTTGCCTATTGTACAAGCAACATGTTGAATACTATGTATTATTTGTATTTTAAGAAATTTGGATGAATAAACATTATGTTATTACTAAGGTTTTCACAAGGATATAAATTAGCAGTTTTTCTTCTTTTTTTGGTTCCCTTTAAAAGTTTAGTAAGATTTGGATTGAATATTTGTCCTTTAACCATATTAAACTATTTAGAAATTTTATCAAAATAGTTGTTGAAAGAATATAATTAGCAGTATAAGTCGAGAATCATTTTCTTTTGTCTGGAAAGCGAAAGAGAGTATCCACTTTGATAAATAAAGGATTAGAGACGGAGCCAGGATTTCAAGCTTATGGGTTCAGGATTCTAATCATTTGAAGTTACTGGATTCTAAATTAATAATTTATACATAATCAATAAAAATTTTAAGACAAATACAAGGTTCAAACTAAAGCTACTGGGTCCGGCTGGCTTTCGGCAATCTAGCTCCGCCCCGTAAAGGATAGTAGATAATTTGGTACGTTGTGTAAGAAGAGGCGGCAGAAGTAGGATTTGAACTTTGTAGGTTCTAAATACTAAAATTATGATATCAAGTGTTAATAATTGGATTTTGAATTTACTTTTAAAAAAAATATATTTAATGAATCTCTTAATACAATTATAAAATTTGCATTGAAATTATTGGAGTTGGACGAACAACACCTAACCTACAAGACACCATAGGGAGAAATTCAAAAATAGCTAGATTTACAAGCGGTCATTCAAAAATAGTCACAGTTTCAAAAGTCATCAAATTATAGCCAGTTTTCATGTAAAGTTAAATCTGAACGGAAATATTGTTCAAAATCCGAAAATACTCCAGTATACTTTGCTGGAACTCTAGTATATTATACTGGAGCCAGCAAAGTATATATGTCCAGCATAATATGATAGAAGTTTATACACGGGTGCACCGAACTCTAGTATATTATGCTGGACCGGTCTCTGTTGCAGCAAAATAGTGGTTATTTTTCAATGACTTGGCAGTCGCTGGCTATTTTTGAATGACCAGTCCGAAAACTGGCTAGCCCTTTCTATTTTAACGACTTCACATACTCCCAAAGTAACAGGTTGTGCAATACGAGGCTATTTGTTTTTCAACTGCGGCCAAACAAGAAGATTAACGCGCCTTTGACCTAGTTCAAGTTTTGAGTTATAACAATGATAATTACTAACAGAAAATTGAGAACAAAAACGCACTAAAAGTATTTGAAATTTTTGGTTTTAGTGAAATAGTGAATTGGTCAACTTAAATAGATAAATGGAAAGAATATGAGCTCTGGATAGTCATGAAAATTTGATAGCTTACAACCAATTATAATAACTTGGTAAGCTATCCTCCCTTGTAAAATTAATGGTGGACGGCAACGCAAAATATATCGGACAAATAGTACATGCCAAGTATAGTAACAAAAACAAAAGGAATGGATATGGTCACTCTACCTTAACCAGTACGAGTTCGAGCCTTCGGAACGAAAAAAATTCCAATAGGAAGTACTTTCCTTTTAATGGGACTCACACGAAAAATCCAAATTAATCAGGCCTCCAATATAGGTGCCAGACACCGAATAAAAAGAAAAAAAAGAAGAAAAAAAGTTAGTTTTCAATGAGAAAAAGATTATAATTAAGTAGAGGTTTGATGTACCTAGTCAAAAAAGCTTTTAAAAAACCATCCGGCTTAACCACTAAGAATCCCAGCGTGCAACGAACATGAACATTATCATGGAAAGCTACCTCTATATCGGTATATTCCTGATATAATTCGCACTGAAGTGCTAAAAATGACATTTTTAGCGAGTTAGTATAGTATACCAACTTCTCACCAAATCTACTTCTTGTTTGAAACTCATATTTAGTCTCTTAAATAGTAATTCCTTCAAAGGGAATCAGAATAGTCTAAGTAGGCGTTTGGACATAAGATATGAAATTTTGGGGAAAAAAAAAAAAGTGAAATTCAAATGTTGAAATAATTCGAAATTTATCTTCAAGTGAAATTTGAAATTTTCATTGCCAAAGACCGATTTCCAAAAAAAGTAAAATTTTTCCTAAAAAGTAAATCTTTTTTTTATGGCCAAATGGGTCCTAAGACAAATGTGGTCTCAACCGTCAAATCCTGGGTTTAATCTGGACCCGAAAACTTCCATTTCCATATTCCCCATTTTCTTTAACAACCTACGTAAAACCCTTCAAAACATTACAAGGAGGGAACTGAACGTGCAGTTACAGTCCCCAGTTGTATGCATAAGCTTCCGGCGAAGCCAAAATTTTTGTTCAAATTTGAAATAAGTAAAAAAAAGAAAATTCTACAAAGGGTGTTGTTCAATAAATTTTATGTACCTCTAAAATCTAACATCTTACTTATATACGCAATGTAATTTTTTGACAAAGAGTAGTCAATTGACCACTCTAACTTAAGTGCGGCTTCGCCCCTGCCTCTTATATATCATGCTTTTTAAGATTGCATAAACCAAATTTAACTTTTCACCTTAAGCTCACCCTCGCCCTTTTCTTCTAAAATATTTTAGAGAGAAAGGAAGTAAGTGTTCGAGTGTTTATATCAAACTAATGAATATATAGATTTATCTTTTGCTTACACTTTTTTATTGAATGACTGTAAAGGAGGTGTCCACGCAGGTAGTGCCTTAGCACATGGGCTCTTAACTTAACTGTAGTTAAATTAGTGTAACTGTAGTTAGTTCAATTAGTTAATACTTGTACAGCTGTACATGAGTTGGTTGGAAGTGGTTATATGTACTGTACATTTGTTCATTTTCAGATATATCGAAGAAGGAAATTTCCTCCTCTGCACTTCTTCTCTCAAATTGCTTTCTCTTCTCTCTGTTCTAAAATCATGGCATCAATTCAATTGTGAGAATTTAACATGGTATCAGAGCAGTTAATCGAGTAATTCCAAGGAATTTTCGAGCAATTAAGGAAATTCAAAGGAATTCACTCATTTCTGCATTCGTTGGAACCCTAATTTTCAGCAAATTGTATTTTTTTAGCTCTTGATTTGACCTAATCCATGGCGGTTTCTGAAGAATCGAGTGGTACTACTAATGATGGAGTCAATTCAGCTGGAGGATCAACGATTCTCGAATCATCCGCATAATCCATCAACGAGAGCCCAGGCCCAACGGCTTTATCTCAAAAAAGAATGGGGCATGTATCAACGATTCCTGGGATTGTATTCAGAAGACTCAGAGGGGGTGCGCAAGAAGACAATTTATAATACAGTTCAACAATATCAAAGCGGTAACGAGCAGGAATATAACACATTAGGCCCAAATAAATCACAGTATATACAAGAATTAATAAAGCCAAATAAAGTCAATGTACAAGCTCGAATTCTTGAATGTTCCCTAGCAGAGTCGCCAGAGCTATCACACCCCTTTTTACCCCCAAAAAATGTATACGTTATGGATTGTGGGTTAAAGAGTTTTTCCAATTGAAGTGATAAATTTGAGTAGAGATTACTTTTTTTACAGAGTCGCCTTTTGAAATTTGATTTNACAGCTTTGAACAAGCTAGAAGTCAGATCCTCTTAATGCCTACTCTGCCGTCTATCAACAAAGCATATGCCATGGTAGTTCAAGACGAAAGTAGGAGGATGATTACTGGTGTCAATTATGGAAATGCAGGGAACATTGAGCCTACTGCTCTATTCACTGCACAATTAGGAATCAAGCAAAGGAGAAATTACAGTTTGGAGTGTGATTTTTGCCACTTAAAAGGACATACTCGCAAAGACTGTTATAAACTAATGAAGTGTGATTTTTGTAATGAAACAGGACATTTGAAGGACAAATGCTACAAAATTGTGGGTTATCCTCCAGATTTCAAGCCAAAGGGAAAGGCAAATGCTGTACTTTTCAATGAACAGCCTCAAACCACACAGGTGGCTAGTCAACAAACGAGCAATGGAACAGTACCAGCTCAGTTCTTCACACAAAACCAGTACAACCAGTTGTTATAATTGCTGAGCAAAAATTTTGTTGGAGATGTCAGTGCTCACATGGCAGGTAAATGCTTTTGTGGCAATGTAGAGCTATGTGAAAATATGGTAATTTGTAAGTGGATTGTAGATACAGGAGCTACGAATCATATGACTGGTTCTAAAGAATTGTTACATCATAAACAATCAGTAGGAAACACAGGACATGTTCAGTTGCCTACTGGAGATTCAGCCACAATCTCACACATGGGAGAATGTCAACTTACAGAAAGTGACACTCTTAAGGATGTTCTTTGTGTTCCAGCATTCAAGTTCAATCTCTTGTCAGTATCCAAAATGACAAAGGACTTGAAATGCTGTGTCACATTCTTTCCACAATGTTTTGTATTTCAGGACCTCTTGTCTGGGAAGGCGAAGGGGATTGGTAAGGAGGAGGATGGATTATATGTTCTTTCCACATCTACATCAGTTGGAGGAAAGTTGAGTCGAGCATTTGCAGCAACTAGTGGAACAGGTGGTGCAGACTTATGGCATAAGAGAACAGGACATGTTCCAATGCAAGTCCTTAGGAAGATTCCTAGTCTAATGAATAATACTAACTTCTCTTGCATCAATCAATTGAATAAATGTGAGATATGTCCACTAGCAAGGCAGACTAGAATACCATTTCCACTTAGTAAGAGTAGAAGCTTATCTAGTTTTTACTTGATACACATGGATGTTTGGGGTCCTTATAAGGTTCCTACTCATAATGGCATGAGATTTTTCTTTACTTTGGTGGATGATTGCACTAGATGGACTTGGATATTTCTTATGCGACTTAAGTCTGATGTAGTATTTTTACTCAAAAATTTTATTGCTTTGGTTAAAACACAATATGGTAAGTCTATTAAGATGTTTTGATCAGATAATGGAGGATAATTTTTCAATCATTCTTGCAAGGATTTATTTCAGTTGCATGGAATTGTACACCAGAGTTCTTGTCCATACACTCCCCAGCAAAATGGGGTAGTTGAAGACAGAGGCATATACTTGAGACTGTCAGGGCTATTCGATTTCAAGGGCATCTACCTGTTAAATACTGGGGCCATTGCATTAACACAGCAGTTTATATCATAAACAGGATACCTTCCTCTATACTTGCAG